GCTTAAGTGGTTCATTTAGAAACCAGTTTGTACCTTTCAAATTTTGGTTTTTCGAGTTGCTATAGTAATTTGGACAAAATCATTAATTGCTATACCAAACAACCTAATTTAAAACTTATAAAACCCTTAAATGATCCAACACACTAATAATATTGTTTGCTTTAACCCACTACGCCTCATAATTTTAAAATGTCTCATTGTAGGTTATTGGGTATTGATTTATACCTAGTATCTTTCTTATACTTTATTGACGTGAGATTTACTTAATGATAATACAGCTTGTTTGGTTAGTAGTGATGACTATTCTTTGATCAAATTATAAAAATAGACTTAAATTAAAAAAGTTCCTTATAAAGTTAATAACAACTAAGACTATATTTAAATTTCTTTTTACATAGGTAAAGAATTAACAAATACATATTTCTTGATAAAAAAGAAGGAATGCGTGTTCTGATTCATACTTTAGTTTATTAGAAATTTGTTAACATTAGGGACTAATTAATTATTCTTAACTTCTTTAAAAAATTTCTTAAATTTACGTTATTTTTATAGTACACTATTACTAAGACACTAGCGAGGCATAACCTTAATTGTATGCTAACATTTTTCTCCTCCATATATAATTATTTTATGAAATGTGAACTATATATGTTAAGAATTCCTTATTTTATTTTACAATTTAAACTACATCAAATTGTACAATATTTTATATATTAAACTCTACATTCTTAAAAAAAACAAAGAAAAAACAAACCTGGTGCCCAACTCAGCGGGCTTGAAGAATCATGACCAAAACAACAAAGTAAACAAGGAGACCTCCGTAGTCCTTGCGCAGGCCAAGTAATTAATTTGGTGCGAAAATAACTGATACCAAATGAAGAGGAGAAAAAAATACACATGTAAGGAAATTAAACTATAAGAAATTAGTTAAAGACATTTGATCAACAAAACAACATATATACTGTAATAAATTGTTACAAATTTCTTAGTTTATCTTTGGCCAAACCCTCTATTTGCATTTGTACATATTTTTTATGGTTAAGACTCTTAAGATTTTTATTCTCGATCAACACATTTTATAATTGGAAACTCATTAAGAACCCAAAATTAATGACTAGGTCACATGCAAGTTAAGATTTTTTATGGATTTCAAATTCTGAACGGTGTTGATTGAAAATACAAATTCTAGAATATATTGATTATAAAAAATAATAATGCTCATTGTTGGGGTTTGGCCTTCTCTTTAGATACATCAAACAAACGGGAGAGTGAAAATGGTAGAAAATGCATGTATCTACCTGGAAATTAAATTAAGATTTTAAAGATTGCAGAGAAGAAACAAGGTTTAGGAAGAAGGGAGACTTTAAAGATGGGGAAGATGCAATGTTAACAACAATGAAGAATGGTTCCCTCGCTAAAACTACTGATGATCCTTCGTAGCAACACCCAAAAGAATGGTTTCCCCTTCCTAGAAAATGCTTAGAAAAATGCAGCCAATGGTTTTCCTGGAAAATGCTTGTGAGTCTTTCTAGCTAGTAGCTACTCCCATAAACAAAAGAATGGGGTTTCTTGGAAAATGCCTACTTTAGAAAAAGCAGGGGAAAGATGTCCGTCGACAATAAAAGAAATAACAAATAAGCTGATTGATAGCCTCACATCCACATGGGAGACAGAAGTTTAACTATTTAACTGATAACATCGTATCACGTTAAAAAACCGTGGAATCCATTACCAAGACGCTAAGTTAGTGCTGATTTCACACTTGTGAACTTGCTTAGATAACGTAATTTAATGGTGATGTGGACATAATACAATAACATGACAAATGAAATTGGGGACCTGGACCCTTTTGCTCGGGTATTTAAATTTAAAAATTAAAATAATTAGATCAAACTTATTGGCCATGATTTAAACTCGCCTTCTTCCTCGTCTGTCTTCCTTTCTGTTTTCTTTCTCTTCTTTTTTCTCTCTTTCTCCGGTTGGGTTCTAAACCCAAATCGGGATCTTTCTTCCTCCTCAGTCATTTCTCTCTCATCCTTCTTCCTCCATCTTCCTTTCCATTATCTTCTTCTTTTTTTTTTTTTTCCGATTGGGTTCTGGAACCTAGATCTGGGTTTTGTATGAGAACCCGATTTGGGTTCTTGGAAGAACCCGATCCCAAGAACTAGAGGAACTGAAAATCAAAAGAACCTGGATCTCTATTCTTAATCACTTGGCTTTCAAAAACACTTTTTGCCCTTATGGGTTTGCTTTGTGTTGGATCAAATTTGAAACCCACAAAAATTTTTACTGTTTGAAAGACAGATGATGACAGAGAGGGATTTAGAGAAACGGGGATCAGAGAAAAAAATGGGGATTTAAGGAAATTT